TCATATTAAACTTATCTCAACGTTTGCTCACGGGTAAAAAACAAGAAGAAGAATGAAGTGAAAAGTGGAAAGAACAACAAAGTAAACTTTCAAAAGTATAATCGCATCGTAACAAAGAATATTAATAACAACGATCTATATATATTTGTTGTTAAATTTAAAAAATAATTGTATAAATAGGAATTCATCAATCTTCCCATAACTAATAATTGTATTATTATTTTGTCATACATATTAATATATTATTTATTACGTATATTTCTTGCAATTAAAATAATAAATATTTTATATTATAAATTATATAATACAATATTTTCCTGAATTCTATAAATAAATTATTTAATAAAATTAGAATTAGGAAAACATTGTAGCAATATTATTCAAATATTAATGATTATTCGTATTCTTAAGCACTTTAGGTACTAGTAAAGATACAAATTCAATAAACTGGAAGACAAAAGATAAACAAATAATAACATGTCTCACGACTCGCAGTCATCTCTAAAAAATTAAAATACAAATTGTATCTACTATATTTTTACAGATGCTTGCATTTTAATATGTCAAGCGTATATATACATACGGATACAAAATGTTATAAAAATGGTCATAACTCAAATAAAAAAAAGGAATAACCTAGCAACAATTTCCATTTGCTTTTGATGTATGACTATCTTTTCGAACATCGCCAACTAACTCAACAAAACAATTCGAAAAATAATTAAACGGAAATTAAATTTGATTAACAGAACCCTCCCATTTACACCTCTCTATTTTGCACATTTTCGTATCTATCACGAAGTTGCTGATATATTTAGACACTTATCTCAAATTTAACTCGGAATAAATGGAATAAATCTATTAATTTAAGCCAATGCAAAAGTAAACAATAACATTAATATCCGATATATTTTTAAACTAAAAATTATAAAAATATAACATGCCTTTCTAGCAGCTATCATAATAATTTATGTGACATATGAAAAAGAAATAAAATTTATAATATAGTACACAATAATATAATCACACAATATAATTCTTTTCTTGTAATAAATAAAATAATTTATGAATATTATGAAAAATCTGAGAAAGTTTATATAATATCGGAAAGTGCAAAAAATGTTATACGATATATAAAGTAATTCTATTTTACTCTTATTTCTTTAATATATTACAAATGTATGTTATATTATTTTATATCACATGAAAGAGCCAAAAAAGCATAACGCTTCAGAGATTCTGGAGGCTGCAAAATTAACAAAGTCGATCGATATGATTACATTTCGACAATTTCGCAACTCTAAATATTACATACATCTCTGCAGGCGTTATTGCATTCGCTTCACTACGCGCTGCATTAGAGCGGGCTTAGAGGAAGCTAATAGAAATTTACCTGTTGCATCGGATACGTTGCGCTACCGACAAGAAGATCCCATGCCCACGCGAAGATTCGTGAGCAAATGTGCATTGACGTCACCGCCACTTTATAGAGTCTACTGCCGGTGGACTCTCGTTCACGTTCGCTGCCAAGATTATGCCGGTTATGGCGATCTCGCGTGCACCCTGGACGAATGACGCCTCGATCGGTCGATTAGTGGCACCACCGAAAGAACCCGGCGAGCGATCACATCTTGGAAAATTACTCCACTTCACTCGCGACTCCCTTCAAGTCCCGGCATTCACCGCGATGGATCCTTGGATGCATCCTTGGACGATATCGGTAACAACCAGCACGATAATAACACGCGATTCCGAGTCCTTGGAATGTCTCTACTCGATTACGCGGTCACTCGATTGCGCGTGCCATCGCTCCGCAATTTTCCCGGAACGTTTAACGATCATTTACGCTAATTCACTGGAACGTAACGAAGGTTGCTGTGCGTCACACGTGTGGTCAAACTGCGATAAGCGTCACTTGCTCGAAACTTGCTCTTCGCTTCGCGCTTCGAAAAATTGCGCCCGCTTTCACACAGAATTTTGATCGTTAAACTCGCGATAACTTCGCTAATACATCTTCGCATCTCTTTTTAACACCGAAAAATATCGAAATTTACGTGAAACCACAAAATATTTCACTCGCACGACAAGCACGACTTCGGCGACGAATCGCTTCGACACGACTGCATAAATGTTCGTCGAAAATGAGAGAAGGGATAAAAAGCCGACTGCACTGTACGTAATCGTTGTAGCAATTATATAGTTTTCACCCCGACGCGAGAAAATCGCGCAAACGACATCTCGTTTGCGAGCGCGTACGAACTACTTGTTGATCAGCGCCTCCGAGAACGACTGCCGCATATGATGCGCGTCACTCTGAAGTTGGCGCCAACTCCGATAGGTTGATTATTAAACGTTATAACTGACCATGGTCGCCATGGCTACCGTGAATTCAAATTGCCGCAGATAAGTCTTACATTATTTAGCGACGATAGAAACCCCACGATCGACAGCTACGGGATCGAAAATTGAGTTTGAATTACACAGGTATATTTTAATCTCGCTTAATCACGGAATAATCAAGTTGCTCTAAATTAAAGCGAAAGAGTTCTAGTATCGAGGGAGCCAGGAGAAGTAATGACGTAATTGTAAAACGTTATATATACAGAGAAAATTATGCCGAGAGTCGCAAAAGATCAACGAAATATCATAAGTATTCAGAATTTTGGAACATGCTAACGCTAATCACATTGCTCGTGACATTATGTAAATATGAATTGCTTGTGCGCGCAGGATTTCGTCCTCCGATAATCGATGGAGATAACAAGCGGGAGCCATCACGAGATCGACGATGCATCGGTGACGATTCGCGCTTCGTCGATGCTTGTAGTGCTTTATACACGGATGCGGAATCTGTCGAGGCGCGATTTGCGCGGGACGAGCTGTGCTCGAGATGTTGATCCGCACAGATACTGCAACAACACACTCCGACGAGAGACCGAACGATACTGAAACGTAGAATGAAATTGCACCCGTGCCATCTAGACGCGCCGCAGACACGGTTGACGTGATAACGTTGCACAAGTGCCAACGTGCAATCGTAAAAATTAAATTTGTCAACCTAGAAAAAAAATTAAAATATTCCATTGTACGTATAAGTACATATAAAGTCTTGCATATATAAATCTTAAAATAAAGTGTCTTATATATGTACATATAAGTACGTATTTATAATAATTATATTATGTTTATGTAGTTTCACGCTTAAGTTTAAAAATGTTTAAAATATATATATGTACATGTATGTTTTTTATTTTTATTTAATTTATGTGAAATATCTAGAGAATTTCGTCTAAAATTTATCTAACAATACATATTTTAATATTGATATTTATTTTTATGCTGAAGAACTTTGGATATTATTTAATACTTGAGGATATAGAAGTATTTCAAAAATAAGCTCTAGTCTTTCTTCAAATAATTTTGAAAAGTATGAATTTCGAAATGAGATGGTAATTTATGACAATATTTCCATTAAACGAGCTTGTAGTTTAATTATTTTACAAGATCAGTTAATAATACTTAAAGTGTACTTATATGTTTACTTATAAAATTTATTAGTATATATTAAATATTTAAAACTAAATATTTATTAGTATATATTAAATATTTTATAGCAACTGTTACAAATTTATAACAATGCACTTTTCTTATATTATATATTTATAATTATTCGAATAAATTTTTTTCTTTTTGACATGAATTAAAATCAAATTATTTAATTGATATAATACTAATTTTAGAGATTTGTACGTACATATGTTCTAACAAATATATGTAACAAATTTAGTATATTTTTTTTTAGAAAAACAATTTTCTCTTTCTATCAGAGGAGAAATACTAATTTTAATTGTGCAGTCCAATGAATAGTATAATTTGAAATATTATAAAAATGTTTTCTTAATACTTATATATTTAATTATATATATTATACATATAAGTTATTTTATATATATATATATATATATATATAAATTTTTATACAAGTTATTTTAAGAAGAATAGTAAATATTTTATATAAATGTAGATTTTGTATAAATTAATATATCGTTGTTTGAAACTGATGTAAAAAACCATTATAAGAGATAATGATTTTTATTTATATTTATAATTATTTATTTGATTCAAAATATTTGATACAAAAATGGACAAATAACTATTAAAAATATAATAACTATTATAAATAATTTACAATTGATATACTTTGATATAATAATTTACAATTGATAATTGATATAATTGCTCGAAAGTTTCATCGCCATGCAGTCTCAAATGCACTTCGCACAATTTTTATGATAATAATACATATTATAAATTATTTGTAATAATACATATTATCAATTCCATCTATTGACAATTGAAAATGTTTATAAACTTTTATCAAGAATGACCGGTACTCTAATTTTCCAAAATATTTACTACTCCTCCTAAAATATTCTCTATATATAATAATCGGATTCTAACTTATTAATTGATAATTATAAATTCTTTTGTTTAATGATTAGTATAAAAATTAAGTCAATTGTAATTAACAATGATACGATGACGTGCTAGATCGTAGACGCCGCAGCATGCTGTGTGGAGCATGCGCATTACTCATGCGCATTACTCCTGCGCATTGATGTTAAGTTAACCGGTGTCATAAAGGTTAGAGAGGTGTAAAGCGTAAAATAACGATCGTTCTTATCACAGTGAAACTTATTTCCAATTTTATCAGCTGTGGTAGTTACATGCGTGGTAATAAGATTGATCAATCATTAGTGAGAGAAAAGCAATCACGCACGATATCGAAGTAAAGTTAAAAGTATTACGTACAGATATACATAAATTGCCGAGTTCATCCGAAGAGAAAATTTAGGTTAGATTGTTGGATTTGGATTTGGTTGTTGGATTTGTCACTGTACAGAACGAGAACGCTATTTACGGACGAAGAAGACGGTTTTGCTTAATTGCGAATCGTGATATAACACTATCGTATCGAATAATACCAAAAAGTATCATCAATGAGCTCTCAACAAAGCCCAGCCGCTCTACAATCGTCTGTCGATCGCGAGAAGGTTTATACATGGATAATCGAGCTGTCAAATCCGGATACCCGGGAAAATGCTTTATTGGAATTGAGTAAGAAACGCGAAACGGTTCCCGATCTGGCACCGATGTTATGGCATTCATTTGGCACTACAGCTTCTTTGTTGCAAGAGATTATCAACATTTATCCTGCAATCAATCCTGCAACTCTAACTGCTTATCAAAGCAACCGAGTATGCAATGCCTTGGCGCTTTTGCAATGCGTGGCCAGTCATCCGGAAACAAGATCTGCTTTTCTTCAGGTAAGATTACGTTGCACTTTTTGAAAATTACTATATCAAGAGACAAAAATAATATATATAACACATAGTAAATAAATATGACCTTGGTCCATAGATGTAAAATTTAATATAATTTCTATTAAAACCATGCTATATTTAAATTGATTTTGTTAACTGATTCTTTCTTCAGGTTAAACATTTCAAAATCCGTCTCTATTAATGGAAAAATTAACTTACGCATAAGATTTCAAATTGATATAAAGATAGACACTATGTAATATTTGAAATATAATATTTTCTGGCTACCTATTTAATCGTCAAAAGTTTATTTATTGAAATTATATAATTGCAAACTGAACATTATATATTTATATTTGATTTTAGGCTCATGTTCCTTTATTTCTATATCCCTTTCTGCATACTGTAAGCAAAACACGGCCATTTGAATACTTGAGACTGACAAGTCTCGGAGTGATTGGCGCACTTGTCAAAACAGATGAACAGGAGGTGATTACTTTTCTGCTCACGACGGAAATTATCCCACTGTGTTTGCGAATTATGGAAAGTGGTTCTGAATTGAGTAAAACCGTAGCAACATTTATACTGCAGAAAATTTTATTGGATGACAGCGGCTTGTCTTATATCTGTCAAACATATGATAGATTCAGTCATGTTGCTATGATTTTGGGAAAAATGGTTCTATCTCTAGCAAAAGATCCTTCCGCAAGATTACTTAAACATGTTGTAAGGTGTTATCTAAGGCTTTCTGATAATGCAAGGTGAGTATTATAAAACAAAATACATGTGAAATATTAATGTTAAAATTTAAGAAATTAAAATATGATTTTGCATGTAGAGCATTGTTGGCCTTAAGACAATGCTTACCAGATCAGTTAAGAGACAATACATTTGCAACGTGCTTGCAAGAGGATCAATCAACAAAGCATTGGTTGAGTCTACTTCTTAAAAATTTAGAAACTGGCCCACAACCGGGTCCGCCAACCCAGCCGGGACAAGATCCTCGGACAATTGGCATGTCGCCTCTCACTTCCTGAACTTTTCAAATTTCTGATTTTTATAAGGTATGTTGCATATAAGAACGAACATCGAAGTATCTTTCTGTGAATTGTTCTATATTTTTTCATAATAATTAATGGCTATGCCATCTACATATTTCATAAATCGTGCTGTGAGAATTAGTAATAAGCATATCGTCACTTTGGAACTCAAATACATGATAATTGTAAATATTGTATAGATATTTGTGCGGCAAGATCTAGCACAGTTACAATTTTAATATAATTTGAATTCAACAAATGTCTATTTTTTTCTTGAAGTTTAGGGCCATTAACTGATAGTGTTGACAACAAGTTTATACAAATCAAAAATGTTTTGCGCAAAAATAAGATATTACGTATGATATAAGAAATTTAATGACAAACACATGTGCTAAGATATGTTATAGATATAATGTAAGATGTATTACTAACTACTATAAGCTGTATTTTAATGCAGAGCTGTCTACATTTTGGGACGATTTCCATAAATCAATGTCTATTGCCTCCCATTTACGTCTTGAGATCTTAGCAACGAATTGCTTGACAATTATAAACAAAACACGCAGCATTCTGTCTCAGGTACAGTGCATCTTTAACGCGATGTATTTCATATCTCCTGATTGCCAAATGTCAATGTTTAAAAACGCGACCTCCTTAAAATTCATTTAAATAATTTATTCAATAACCAATTCAATTTCCCGATATAAAAAGATTTTTAAAGAGGTTGCATTTTTAAAACATTATTAACATTTGGCAATCGGAAGATGCGGAACGGCATCGCCTATTACAGATACGTCATACCTGAGTTAAACGCGCGTCTTATTTACAGTTGTTAGACAATTCGTTGTTAAGAATCTCAAGATGTAAGTGATAGGCGTTGACTTTAGGGAAATCGGTCGAAATGTGCAAAACGTGGACAGCTTTGTTTTAATATATAAGAATTATATATAGAAATAACAAAATGTGTGATTATTTATGTTTAACTGCCACATATATTCTGATATATTTAACGATAGAAGCATTTTATAATAAAATTTAAGAATTATTCATTGTTTGAAAATTATTTGATTACATAAAAATCATTCTTTAAGAGATACATATATACAAGAAAGAATAGACATGCAAATATTGTAGTTAATATTTGAAATAACATTTTTCATTTATTTTGTATATTATTATGAACCTAATTAAATAGATAATACGTAATGCATTACATACAAAATCATGTAAGCAAATTTATTTTACTGCCTTTATTTATGTATACATATTTTTTGTATAAGATTTATACAGATAAGGCTTAATAGTTTAAATTTCAAGTTTTATAGATTTCAAAAACCTTTAAATTTATGAAATTTGAACTAGAATGATTAAAATCGATTATGTAATGGGCTATTAAACTGAGATATATTCAGTATATTAAATTATTAAGTCTTATATAAGCTCCTTTATAAGATTAATTTACGCGCGTGTGTATAATGAGATATATTAGAGAAAGTTAGTTAGTCAATCTCGTATCGTTGTGATTGATCAATAACAGGGTACACTTTGTATGAGAATTAAACTACTAAATCATTACATAATATATCATCATTTATATATATATATATATATATATATATATATATATATATCGCCAAATAATTGCGCGAGTCATGGTTTAATTTAATTTAATTTTAATAAAATGTTAAGTTGGATTCATATAAATATAAATTTGAATTATATGAACATAAATATATTTTATTTAGTTAAATGCAATTGTGTGAAAAAAGAATGAGCACTAATATTTTGAAAATGTTTGTGTTGTCGTATCGCTTACATCACTCTTCATTTTCGTAAGTTCAGTCTCATTCTGTAAGGAAAAAAAAAAACATATTAGCGCGATAAGATTTAGCCTAATTAAGGATCACGGAATATACATACATACCGCTTTCTGATGATCCTTCGAGCGTAGAAAGCAGTGTATAACAGGTGTAAATAATTTTTTGTCTGAGCGACTGTACTTAGACGGTCCCGTGAACCACGAGACTAGTAAGCCTATCAAGATTGTAGTTAAAAAACCTACCCACGTATACCAGAGATATGACATTCTATACAAGAAGAAAGGTTGTTCTCTAAAAAGATAAAAATAGTTTAGTTATACAAGATACGAAAAGAATCTTTGCGCGATTCTTATAGGAAGAATAACTTGATAGACGTACCTGACAGCAGTCTCGACGATCGTTGTTAAATTTCTGACAGTACTCTTCAGTAAATCGGAACATCCCTCCACCGATACTGGTTTCACCGGGAAATAGATTGATCCGCTGGAAATCGCCGCTTGTGAACCAAATGAAATCCAAGCAACCAAGTTCAGACTAATTAGTGTACCGACGAATGCTCCCTATTCGGATAAAAAAATAGAAAATTATTCAGCAAATACAGAATTTCTTAGTATTGGTTTAATTTTAATAATTTGACAAGTTACTTGACTCTAAATCTGTCACGAAAATTAATTATTTAAGACTTTTGAATATTTAAATATTTTTATTGAATATCTTAATTGATACTATAAGACTTTAAGTCTAAAACTTTTATATAAAATAATCGAATTTTTAAAGTGAATTGTTAGAGAATAATTTGGATATTGTATATATATATATATATATATATATATATATATATATATATATACACATATACATATATGTGTGTGTATATATATAAGCGATATTATAAAACTAAATTTAAATTCTAATCGATAAAATAAACATACAAGTGCTTGCAATTTCTTTGCAAATTTTTATTTTCTTACTATTGAATTGGCCATCGGAAAGAACATGCCTAATGTAAACATTCCAAGTAAAGGCCCAGCGGTTATTCCAGATAAGCTCTTGCCAGCCTGAAAAAGTCAGTATTCTCCGAATTAATTGAGAATTGATTTGTCTGAGCGACTATACTTAGACGGTCCCGTGAACCACGAGACTAGTAAGCCTAGAGAATTGATTTATGGATCCTCAAAAGTGACCCAATATTTTGCGAGTAGAATATTCGCATCTCTTACTTGAATCAGACCGCTTAATTTCTCTACCATAAAGACGAGGCCTAGGCAAATGGCTCCTATTATCACAGCTATAGCTTTCATTATGCGACTTGCACCGACATTGGAGATTGGTTTACGGAAACATGGCTTAATCATATCTTCATAGATCACACCTGACATAGAATTCAATCCGGTCGACATTGTACTACAATTCAACGAACGAGTATATTACATAATTGGAAAAAGAGAAAAATAATTGGATAATATGGAACATAAACAAAAAACATAATCTCTTTGGAGTCTATGCTATTATGGCTTTTACTTATCCCAGATCTGATTATTTCCATTTTGATAAAGTAAATATTGCAAATGTCTCAAAATGATCAAAAAATTGCAAAATTCAAAGAAAATATATCTTATAATATTTAATACTACCTCAATGCTGCGCTGAATACACCGGAAACAAATAATCCTGGTAAACCTGGTATTGTGTGTGATAATTCCATCACAAAGTATGGTAACAGCTGATCGGCTTTTCGTATTTGCTAAAACGTAATTTTTGAGTAATTTTTGTGTAATATTTATACATTTTTGGACCTTCTTTAGCAAAAAGTCTAAACGTATTCACATTAACAAAATTTTAAGTTAAATACCAATCACAATTTATTCATAGAATAAAAAAATGATGTATAATAATGTAGTCAGTCAGTAATTAATGCAATCGTAAGCGATTGTCTAATAAATCACTTCACAATTCCATTCATTATGAGATAGAATTTGACAAAGGTTCCAACATTCTTCAAGTAATCATAATTCTAAGACAATACATTTCATGTAATAAAAAGCGAAGATTAGTAATAAAATGATTAAAATAAAAAATTTTTATAGATTAAAAGGCAATTCACATAAATAATATTGCCAACTATAAAAGAATAAATTGAAACACGTTCAACTGACCGCTATGATGATCATGATATCAAATGTCATTAGATTAAAAATAATATACGTAGATTAAAAATTTTTTATTTTTCCGATTTTTTTTTAACAGATTAGCAGTGGAAGAAAGTTCGTATAACTAGTAAATTTAATCAATGCTATAAGGAAGGCTTGTTTAGAACTAAGAAAATCGCAGGTGATATTGCGTGTTTTACAAATCTATAATTTTAAAGAACATTTTCTGAAAACATACAAATGTTTCCCTTTCGGATCCTCTTCAGTGGCAATGCTGATTTAATAGAATATATAAAAGAGAGTTCGAAAGGGACCGAAACGTTTGTATGTTTTCAGAAATTATTCTTTAAAATTAGATTTATAAAACACACAATATCATCTGCGATTTTCTTGATCCTAAACAAGCCTTCCTTATTGCATTAATTTATCATTTGGCCCAATTACATGTAGATTTATTTATTTTTTTATTATTTTATTTTTTTATTATTTTATATATATTTTTAATTCATTGTGATCTTTGTTGAGTAAGTTTAAATTATCGACACAAGTTCTCGAATTAATTTTTCTTCAAAATTTATTTATGATTTTACGAATTCTTGCTCGAAATATTTTATTTTATGAATTACTATGTGTTGAAATATTTTTTTTTTACCTTTGTCATGATAGGATCACAATCATAGAAGGCCGCATAAATGACGATTCCCGTATAGCAACATAACGAGACAATGCTGGCTATGCCTACGGCCATTATCATAATTGCCCTAGATATAAATAGAAATTAGCGAGACGCGCGTCGCCATGCATCATGAAGTATTTGTAGGACTCACACGTTGGATTTCTTCAAATTTGGCATTGCAAGACATCTCTGCACCATTGCCTGGTTCACCGAACACGTGGCCAACCAATTTAAATAATTGCCGATTACGACGGTCCAAAAAGTGTGCCTTACTGTAGGATCCGGATCCATACTGATTAAAAAGTAGTAAGAGAATTGGCGACATTTATTGCTTGATAGTTAACTGATGTATATAGAAATTGAACGAAATGGTAACATTATGATTGTGCAATATGATATTAAGTAATTTTGAAAAAAATAATGATTAATTGCATTACATAATTGAATTACATATAACAAAAATATAGAGAAAAGTTAATGACAGTTAATCGTATATATGATATAATAATAAAAAAATATGGAGAAGAAAAGAAGAATTTGTTCGCACTTGAAGAATTCGATTCTTCCAGTATCATCATTCCTTTTCCACACCTCTGCCACACCGCCAACTCTCGCTGTGCCAAGTACAGCAACAGTAATGGAAGCACCGAACATCACTGCCGTTTGAATGGTATCCGTCCAAACGACCGCTTTCAGGCCACCCTAAAATTAAAAAGAATATATATTTTTTCATAATTAATTTATAAATGTTAATTTTTTTATCACGATATCACGTTGAATATGCAATACTATCATTTCTTTTGAAATGTTGTAGACTAAATTTTCTCTTTATTTTGCATCTTTAGATAATAGATAGATAGATAATTTTTATTAAATGTAGTTGATTTTTATTTTTTATATCTTTCTCATATGGTACAAAAATTTCAGATTAAAATTTTACTATTACATGTATGTACAGTAATACAAGTTCAAAAGTTTAAAATATCTCTTCAAATAAAAGATATCGATACTTGAATTTATAAGCAATGTCCTTACTAGTGTCGTATAGAAAATGCATACGATGCAGACAAGCAACGCAATCGTATAAAGATCCATTCCGGTTGCCTGATTGAAAGCTAGCGCCGGTACGTATATCACCATAGGTATATAAAGCAGCTGCAAGTGTAAAATTATTCGAAAAATGTTGAATTGTATATAGAATTGATGCATATCAAACTTAACACTTTGATAAATTCTGAATATAATAAAGATTTGTTACATATTAAAGACATATAGTGTCTTAAAGATATATAGTGTCTAGAAGAAATTTGGCAGTTTTAGCAAACGAATTTGAATTTTTGGAATAAGGATTTTTTTATGTGTTTGAAGAAATAAGCTTTAAAAATGAGTTTTAAAATTTGCAAAAATCATGAAATTTTTTGGAATTAAATTTAACTCACCATTTTGATAATAAAAATAACAGATCCCATAAGCCTAATCACTCGATTGAACCTCAATTCTAGGTACTGCAAAAATGTAGAATTAGCAATGTTCATGATTGTTGTTATATAGACTCAATGATATGTTACCTCGTAAGATGATGTAATTCGAAGTCCATAGAAAACCGGCAGATATACAACTGCCATCGTAATAGACACAAAAGTATCCGCAATCACAGCACACCATAATTGCGTACCGTAAACATACATTTCTGACGCCAATCCCAACATCGCTATACCCGATATGTAACTGCAATTTTAAGATCTTTCTTAAATTAGCTTGTAATAGTGCAAATTTAAGCCATATTAATTTCTCAATCAATCTGTGATAAATGAATAAGTTATTGGAATTTTTTTACTAACTTTTATGTTGTTGGATTATTATGATTTGTAAAACGATAAGCTTAATGATAAAATTAATATTATACTGATTTTTATTTAAAAATTCAATTTAATATTATACAACTCAATTTTAATATTATATATAATATAAACATATTAATTTAAATTAAAATAATTTGCTCCAAATAAATTTATACAGTACTTTATTATAAAACAGGAATCACATAATATAATAATTCTTTAAAAATGCAATTTTGCAGTTTTATTATTGCGTAATGCAATGTATATACTTCGAGTCCGAAATAAAAATGTACAGATAGCAGTTGCCGTTAATAAAGCGTATGATTAAGGGGGTGCTCTTAAAACGAATTTTCTTATTTGAGTATCTCAACACGTGAACCTATGACTATTAATAATTACAACTTTAACTAGAGAGCCTTGACAGCCAATTGAGACAAATGTCACCTAATGTGTCCTATATATTTCCGGTTCACAGTTTATATATAGGACAGTTCCTTTATTAATATTCTATATTTTTTGTTGTAAAACTAGAAATAAATAAAACTATTTTCACATATATTTCAAGGTATATAAAAAATATATACATTATATAGATCTCTGAACTATTATTTGTAAGAGTTAAACTAAAATACTTGACATGGTTGAAATAAGTTTGGATTAAATTTTTACCTTGCTATCAGTGACATGCTTATCGGAAATACAGACATCTTCTGGCCGCCCACAAGGTACTCTCCTACAGCGTCTGCCTTCTTCCTGGATGCATAATACTGATAAATGCCTATGAGGGCAGAAATGCCCAACATACTGATGAACACAATTGAATCAACCAAGTCAAATGACTGGCGATTTTCTGTCGTATCCATTGCTCTTCAAATTTATTTGAACATAAAAATATCCCAATCAGGTGTATTCACATCTGCTCAATTTTATATTTTAATATCACGAACATTTTAATATTTTCGATATTCAATATTTTTATTATAATTTTATATTTTTTATTATATTTCGATTGTTATTATAATTCAATATTAAGAACACTTATATAAAAAATTCACAAACTGATACAGAGAATTAATAAGTCGCAATTATCTTTTGTCACATATGAATTCTTTCACATCTCGCAGAAATGTGACAGTTAAATCTGCATTTTGGAACAGCTTCAATATTCTAAAGATTTCAAAATCACTATGAAAATTTGCACAAAATCAATTTATGCACAAATTAAATCTATGCATTAATTAAATTTAAATAGCATATTGAGAAATAAAGTATTACAAATTATGCTTTAGTATAATTTTCTTTATAAATACTTGCAAAAATTCACGAACGACACAAACACATAACACTTCTTATAAATTTTATGGATACTTTGTAAAGGATTACGTGTCACAGACGTGCTTGCCAAATCTTTTCAAGAGACACAGTAGTAATGATAAATCACGATCAACTTAAAATAATTAAAATCACGAAACTTTTGTAAGATTAAAAACGCGTGTTATTTCGATTCGTTTGATCTTGCGCGAAATCGAGATTTTCAGATACAGAGATTACGATTGCGCACCGTTTCTTCTGTGCGCTCTATGAAACGTCTGCACGACGGTGAAAGAGCAATATGTTAAGCGCGACTCCACGAGCTACGATTGAATAATTGCGGATTCTCCGCCGCCGTTGCTCTATATCGTGTTCACTGCCACCGCAATGATTCTTTATGTGAGCACAAAATATATAGCCTAAGGAGCAAAAAAAGAGAGAAGACAAAGCTGGAAGTCTATCTTTTTCTAGTAACAAATATGAATAATTAGAATAATTGAATGTTTCATATGGATATGTCAAATTTTAATTCTGCTATATAAAGTAATATGATCAAGTAATATGATTTAATATAAAATTATGATTGTTATATATTGAAAGAAGTCATATTTTTATAAATTATTATAAATTTTATAATATTTAATCCTAAGAGACTATGAGTATCACTGTGTAAGTGTGAATAGAAAGAGAATTCATCCTACTATCTTTTCTCCTTTTTACGTCTTTAAATTATAATATTGTGTACATAAAGATTATCTATTATACTATAATCTATTTATATATTCATAATTATTTGATATATAAAATTAAATTTTATATTGATTTTTGTCGCAAATTATAGATTATCTAAAGTTTAAATTACTTGCAATTTTAATTGCAATTTGCAATTGATTCTGCATGTAATTAAAAAAATAAATAATAGCTAATATGATTGATTTTATATCTAAATTGAAATATTTTAAAGAAAAAGGAAAAAATTGTTGTTTCTTTCGCACTGTTAGCGATATCGAGGAATGCAAAATTGACAACAGCGGCAAAAGTGCGCTATATGTAATATGTATACCTCTAATAGCAATATGTATACCTCGATGCATCTTTTGGTTTACCTTGATATATTCACGTGGTTCAATTTACACCTTTATCGATATGTATATATGTGTGTATATGTATCTGTATATATTAAAAATTATATTGTAAAATCTGACCCTGCAAAAAGCGGAATAAAATAATCCAAGATATGTAATTTTACGATTAATAATTATTTATTTAATAATGAGATAAGATTATAAAGTCAAATATATTAGATGCTTTAAATTTTCTTAGAATCTAAGCGCAAATTAATTATTAATTAAACGATTGCTATCACGATTTTTCATTATTTAAATCTTTCGATCTTATAAGATTCATGTTATCAAGTCTATGCTATTATATTAACAATAGAAATATATATTTGTAAAAACAGCACATGATTTTAACATATAAACATCAAATGAATTGTTCTCTTTTTTTTCGTTTTCCTCTCTTACAATATGATAAAATTTATATCGAGTATTGATATTTTCAGATCAGAATGATATAATAAATTCACACATTATATAAACATTATATAAACAATTATACAAACAAAAATACATATTATATATAAAATTAATATATAATATATTATATATTATATATTATATACAAAATTAATATATAATATAATTTTTTTATTTGTAATTATATATAAATAATTTATTTATTTGCAATTATATATATATACGAAATATTAAATATTAAATATTTATTATATTATAATTGCGTACGCGATATTTAAATTAAACAATTAATCTCGTGATTTAATTTTTACTTACATGATTTAAATACGAGAGAATTAAAGAAGAAGAATACGAAAGAATTAAAGAAGATTTTTACAAAAACTATGATTTTATAAGTTATTAAAGAATTATTAATAAAGTTCATTTTTCAAAATTTATGGAAGTATTAATTTGCTTATTATATCGAATTCAATGCGTATAATAATAATTTTTTGAAATATTAATTATTTTAAACGCTATTACAATTTTTATTTATATGTTTATAGATTGACGCAACATCCTGAAAACCTGAGATGAGGAGCAAGCCTAGGAGGAGGCATCTTGCATCGACGGAGCAACCTGATGGTGAATATTATTATTTATATTAATTATTATGCAAATCCCGTACACATATTAATTTGATTTATTTGTCTAAATGATTTGAATAAGAAAAAAACTCTTTATCTATACTTCGATTATACTTCGATTCTTTATCTATTTTTCAATTATTTAAATGTAATTCAGATTGAGATCGTGCAGTAAAATGATCGAATCGTAAATATAAATATATATTTAACATAATGAAAGTGATCCTTCAATAAATAAATAATCATATAATTAATCTATATCATTTAAAATCTAAATTTCTATACTTTAAAATATTTCGCGTATACATTTGTCAAAATATGTAAAATATTTCGAACAGATAATAACACAATGTTTAGCCTTGACGACGTATACAATGACGCGCTAATTTCTTAGAATTAACTTTTATACATTCCGTTTACATTCCGCGGTGTTGGTATCATTCACACGGCAACACTCGAGCAAGATAGTGATGCGAAATGATACTCTTCGTATATTATCGAATTTATTATTAATTGGACGATTATCATGATTTTCAATTAGATTAATCTTTCGATTTTATAATTCGTGTTAATATAATATTAATAAAACGGAGCATTTGTAATGAATAGTGCATGAATTTGAAACTTTATATAAATATCAAACGAAAATAGTACTTCTCTCGTGTCATTTATTTCTTACGATATGTTAAAAAGTGCATTTCTCATGTAATTATTCCACGATCGGGAGTGTCGTGCAAAGTGTCTCGCGATCGTTCCATATATAATTAATTATTATTATTCGTATTTTCAGAAGTGAATGTGAGTGCTATCAAGAAATAGCAAAGAACGAAAAAAGGAGAAAAGGGAGAAAAACATCGAACAACACATACGGAGCAACGAAATATAAAATGTAAATCATTTATAAATTATTTATCATTCATGTTACTTTTAGACATATTGCCTGTTCCTATTTCACCTTTACGAATTTATTCTTAATTATCATCTAGCATATATAAAAAATATTTCAGTTTTTATTTTAAAATATTCCAAATAATATAATAAAATATTTTTCGTGTTAATTGATATTTCAAGATAGTTCAATATTTTATAAAATATTTCACAATAATGTAATTATTATATACTTTATATATAAGAATTGGATATTTTTAAATAGACTGAATTTTTATTAAAAGTTTATATTCAAGATAATGCTTGATAATTATAATTTACAATATTAAATATCTATTTGAAAGGCAAAAAAATTAATTGCGCGTAATAATTAATTTTACAATCAATTAATTTAGATACTTAATTTTATTAGAAAATAGATTTATAAAAATATTAAAATTGAATGTTTTTGCATTTAATTTGTGTTTGCGTAATGATTAATATTCGCGTCAGATGTTCCATATATAGCATCCCGAATTTTTCCTGACCTAAATAATCCGCGCGGACTGCTGAGCTAAATACTCCACGCGGACTCAATCGATAGCCAATAAGCATAGTTCCTCGATCCTTAAATCCAATAGAAAACCCGGATTTTGTCACTCGCGTCGTATCTCACGTCTTATTCGCGTTTCTTCTCGCATCCTTGTCGCACCCTCGTTGCATCCTTTTCTCTAATTGCTTTTAAAGGGCAAGCTCGAGCGAGCCTCGACTCGGCCTTATCTATTGTAACTCGATATGAACATAAAAACTCGATATGAAGATAAAAACTAAGCCAAAATAATACCGATTTTCATGTCCGCCTGTCATCACTTTTTTATCGCGTACAAGATTTATGTCTCAATTTAGTTACACATAAATATACTCGCACAAATGTATTTCATATATTTCAGTTCCTTACACACTCGTTTGTACGGTGTAGTTTTGAGCATTTTCTTTTTAAATTCGATTTATTAAAGGTGTACTTTATATATTATTCATATATTACAATTAAAGCAATCAATGTCATCTGTATAAATGTTTAGATATACATATATTCTTTTGTTTTTCAGCTATAAAATATTGTTGTAATTAACGTACATTAATTCATTGATAATTTCGATTTGCATTTAGAAAAAAATATATTTAAAACATTTTAACTATATCTATCTATAAATACTTATACTAGTATAATATTTTAACTATATCATAAATATTAATATATAATTTATATATACAATTAATATTTATATATACATATATATTTATATATATAATTTATATATATATATATATATATATATATGTATATATTTAACGAATTAATCGAACGAATGCATTCCGATTCATCTTTCCGTTTGATATATATAAATATTTAATTCACTATTCGACTGATTGCGTTCCGACTCGCTTTTTTATTCGATATATATAAATATTACACTTAAGTGTGAATCTAGAAGAAGTAGATTTCGGATATTCACTGTAAGTCAGCTCCTCGGGCGATCGGGACGAGATTTAAACGGTAGTGCCGCGAAATGGTGTAGAATTTTATGCAAAAAGAACGAAATTGCTATCGCGTC